AGTCAAAGAGAGTCAAATGGGGTCAAAGAGAGTCTAAGGGAGTCAAATAGAGTCAAATGGGGTCAAAGAGAGTCTAAGGGAGTCAAATAGAGTCAAAAGGAGTCAAAGAGAGTCTTTCTTTTCCACTTTCCTCATGTTGTTTGAGAAGGAGGGATTGTTGCAACACAGCCTTAAAACTTTTTTATCAGCCAGCATATAAGCTGAAGCAGACTTAGATGATGGCTGAAGCTGACCTTGAACTTAACTAATTATTTTATAAAGGGAAATTTATGAAGAACAGGAAATTCCATTTCTGTAAATAAACAGAGTTGAGCTAAACTAACAGAACAGTTTGATTTCTGCTGAGATCAAGTCAAACACAGATAGAGTCGCTTTGTAAATCGAGTTCCGAAGCTGATTGATTCATGACTTTATTTTGCTGTATCAGAGTAAAGGAGACGGGACAGAAGGACAGATGCAAACGTTTCTTTTATATTTGTCTTAAGCATAGTGAAATACTATCGTTTCCTTGACTGGACCAGAAAAACAGAAGATTATGAGCGATGAAATGTGAAAAGAAGCTTTTTTATTCCTCTGCTGCTGGCCGTCTCCTGATGACCAGGGAAACAGGCCCTTCAGGTAGAGCCTTGATCATGTTCCAGGCCTCGAATCTGGTCATGTCCTGCAGACCTGCTCCCTGAACCTGCAGGACTTCGTCTCCACACTGCAGACCGCTTTGCTCTGCTGCTCCACCTGAAAGCACAGATGTTTCCTCATCAGAAAAACTCCAGCTGGAGTTTAACTCTTTCCTGTAAACATGGCATACCCTTAAATATCCTGTTGATGACCAAAGGTCTGTCTCCTTGGATTGAACCTTTCCCTCCTTCCAAAGAAAAGCCAATCCCTCCAGCACCTTTCTCCAGGTCCACAGTCATTGGGACGCCCTGTTCCTCTGCTGAGACAAAGTCACAGCCTTTCAGAACACAAACTGGGCAGAGGTCAGAGGTCAGGTGCTTTAGTGAGACTCACTGGGAGCACTGGGTTCCTCCCCTCTCCTGCTCCCTCCATCTTTGCCCTCTTCATCGGCTCTCTTGCAGATCACCACCACAGCCAGGGTTTGATTGCGGGCCTGACGTAGAACAGCCGTGGCGTCCGTGTGCTTGACTCCACGCAGAGTTTGGCCATTGATGGACAGAACCTCGTCTCCTTTCTGGATGGTTCCCTCCTGAGCTGCCAGTCCACATGGAAACACTTTGTGCACCTTTAGGGCAGAAAAGCACAGGAATGAACAGAAATAACCTTCTGGTGTAATGATTAATAAACAGAATGTGGCTGTGACTGGATGGGGTTAGGGCTAGCAGAACCAGGCTGAGGATTGTCGGATCATGGAAGCAGCTGCTGATCCCTGGAGGATGGAAAGTTTAAACCTAAACCTAAACCAAGCAGCTTGATACAATGGGGCAAAAAAGTATTTAGTCAGCCACCAATAGTGCAAGTTCTCCCACTCAAAAAGATGAGAGAGGCCGGTAATTTTCATCATCATAGATATACCTCAACTATGAGAGACAAAATGAGAAAAAAAAATCCAGAAAATCACATTGTCTGATTTATAACGAATTTATCTGCAAAATATGGTTGAAAATAAGTATTTGGTCAGTTACAACCAAGCAA